ACTGGCTGTTTCATTGTGATTGATGCCATGCTGGAGCGCATGAAGCACGAGAAGACTGTAGACATTTACGGCCACGTGACGTGCATGCGCGCCCAGAGGAACTATATGGTCCAGACCGAGGATCAGTACATCTTCATCCACGAGGCACTTCTGGAGGCTGCGACTTGTGGCAACACGGAGGTGCCAGCCCGCAACCTGTACGCCCACATCCAGAAACTCACCCAGCCCCCGCCTGGCGAGACTGTCACCGCTATGGAGCTGGAGTTCAAGGTGACCGAAGCACACAGTCAAACACTAATCAATGGTTAGGTATGATTAGGGATTTACCAAAAAAATAAAAATTCTGCCAAATTCTTCAACCCTTCCACGGTTAAATTCAGTTATAGTTTTGCTGGACTGTTACATTATCTTAATGTGGAGACATCACAGCTTCCTCAGCCCATGTAGACACATGTTTCAGGGTTAAATAAACACACATGAACACACCTACTCGCTGACAATTACAAAATGACTGACACTTTCACGCTCATTCAGCTGGTGTTCAAGGTCGCCGTCGCACACGCACATACCCTTTCTGTCAATAGCCATCGACTGTGATGTTATTACACACTTTCCTCCCAGCACTTCTCTGCCATTAGCCCTCTTATGACCATGATCCATTCTGTTTGAAGTGATAATAGCATTTACACTCCTGCCAACAACGGAGAATGAAAGAGTGAGAGAATGATTGTACCGTACATGCGGGCCTTTGTCTGCATCTCCATACAGTCTGGACACATCACGAACACAAAACCTCCTGCAGTACCCTGACTGTCCATACTCACTCCTGTGTTGTCCATCTGTTCTCTGTCCACTGCCAGAGCTGCTCTCGTCACTCCTACAGCTCTCTAAACAAACTCTGGGACCTAATGTAATCTACATTATAACCCCTTCTTTAGTTTCCATTTTACTTTCATGGCACCAATCCACAACAAAAGTCATTTCAGGACACAATACAAGTTAATAAAAAACTAAGTTCATGTCATAAATCAAATTCAAATCCAATTACAGTCAAATTACACTGCTTTATCTTCTCAAAGAGTACATTATAAAAGTCAGTCAGTGAATGTCATCAATATAAGAAAGCCAGAAACTTTGATTTGTTGCAGTCTCTCATGCTGAGCAAGCATGTCGGTGACAGTGTACGGGAACAGCTCTCCTTTAAAAAGATTAAATCTCCAGCAGGTCCAGGCTCAGGATGACCAGTCGTATCCCTCCACTAGCTGAGGTTTGAGAAGACTGCGAAGAGGCGACAGAAGAATTGTAGTTTTTATGGGAGTAAAACCACAAGCTAAAGGCAGCAATGACCACATGTACAAACATGGAAAGGAAAGATAAAGATAGCCGCAGAGTGAAATTTGTTAAAATATCATCCAGAAGTCTTAAGTCTGTAGCAACAAAACTAAAGGGATAGCTCAGGAAACCCAAGCCAACCCTAACTATAGAGAGAGTGTTGTTGTTGACAGCTTTGCATGTTAGAAATAACACGATAGAGTTGATAGAGTTGCTCAGGGAGCCAGTGGAGAGAAACTAAAGTTGAAAAAAATAAACAAGAGCTCTTCTACTAACTAATCAGAACTCTAGCAGTAGAATTTGGATCAATTAAAAAATGTACATCCTGATAATAAAAAATAAAAGGGTCCATTCTAAAAGTGATAAATTCATGGACCATTTTGATGACTTTTTTTTTTTCAGTACCGGTAATTCAAATTAGTCATGACAGGAAGCATTAAATCTAAATCAGGGCTTGTCAGAAGAGAGCTTCAATCTTTTTTGTTTTCTTCAAGTCTTTTTTTTTTCTCTCCTTGTCTCTATCCCTGTCTGACTTTTCCCCATCTTTTATTAAACAGAGACTGGCCAACTCCAAAGCTCACACGTCACGGTTCATCAGCGCCAACTTGCCCTGCAACAAGTTCAAGAACCGCCTGGTCAACATCATGCCTTTTGAGTCCACTCGTGTCTGCCTGCAGCCCATCCGTGGCGTCGAGGGCTCGGACTACATCAACGCCAGCTGCATTGATGGCTACAGGTCAGCAAAGGCCTTCATCTTTTTATCTGGGCAGAATCTAAAGACTAGGAGGATAAAGAACTGAGGTGCTATCACTAGAAAATCCACAGAAAAGCAACAGTGCATTAAACAGCTGGAAAATGGCAATAATTTTCAGATAATGTGTGTATCCAGATGCTTCAAAGCCAACACACCGTGCAGGTTTCAAAGCTTGAAGCATATTTAGCTCATGTTATACAGGAGAACTTTATGTATTTCTTATAATAACAATGAAACTGTAGCTCCGAATGTGATATACTGTCCAACAGAAGTGAGATTTCACTGAAAATGCTGCTTCTTTTACCATGTTTGTTGGCATTTACTAAGTATAGAGAACACCAAGTCTTCCTTTCATGGTTTCATGTGAGTGTTCACAAACAAGTTGCGACAGTAAACTAATGATAGAGGCTGTTGGGGCCAGAAAGTGAATCACAAAGACAGATGTGTCTGTTGATGAGTCAGAAACTTCAAGCAGACATTGACTCAGTTCTGCTCACTACCAAATATTAAACATGATGACCTAGGTTTACTGGTTCCCAACAGGTTTTATAATTGCTTGGAAGCCCTAACCTACATCCTCACCCACTTTCATGTATCAACAAAAAAGCTGCCCTCCCTCTGCTTGCTGCTAGTCTACACATGTCAGAAAGAAAGTGTGCAGAACTTTCCCTAACTACTACTTTGATGCAAGATCAAGGTAGTTGGTAAGGACATCCGTTCAGGGATAATATGTCAGATGTGGTTGTGGCAGTTCTTTCTTGAGGCTGGAAACGTGGAGATTCATCTCTCATCATGACTTTGATAAATCAATATTGGTATCAGTAATAAAGGGCTGACTCACTTCCTGAATCCTATTAGAATTAGGGGTTGAATAGACTAGTCGATTCTAGGACATCTCGCAATTTTTTCATTTCACGTCGACTAGTCGCAGTCCGTGATTGTGTCACGTGATCAGCGCCGGGCCGCTGGCTACAAAACAGATTCTTCCAAGCAGATGGAAGACGAGGAGCAGGTAATGTCTTCCCAAACAGGTAAAAATTCATCAACAGTGTGGAAGAATTTCACTAAATGATGTTTTTTTTAAGTTTTATGTTATTAAATCCACAGTGGGATCCCATCACTGCCCGCCTCCTGTTTTTAGGTTCATTTTATTTAATCCACTAATTAAAATTAAAGTAAAAACGGGTGCGCTGGTGGTTTATTTTCAGAGTCAGAGATTCTTTATTGTCATTCGCATCACGTGGTACATGTAGTGGAACGAAATTATGTACACAGAGTCCCAATTACATCAAACAATAGCAAAAATATAAAGTGTAAAAAGAAGCAGTAATAAGGATCTAAGATATAAACTAAGATTTCTAAACTAAACTAACACCAAACTGTACACTAAATTATCTAAGATAAATGCCAGTCACTAAAAGTGCAAAACAATGCACCGAACAACAGCAGCACGTTTCTCATAGGTTCTGTTCGGCTATAATTTACACGCTTAATGCGAGCACTAACATAAACTAAACTAACAAATTAGGATTTATTCAAAGCATTTAACGATTTTTTTTATTTTGTGTGTGATTTTAGTTCATTTTTTAAATTTAGTGGATTAAATAAAATGAAACTAACTTTTGCAGCTTAATAATAGTTTTGGTTTTCCTGTGACTTATTTGAAGTATGAAACATGGTAGGAGAATAAATATACTCTCCCGATGTTTTGGTGTTCTTTTTTTGTTTTTTTGCAATTTTTTTGCAATTTTTTGTCTGTCTTGTGTTCCTATGGTGTCATCAACTAGTCGACATCAACTCGACTGTTATGTTAATAATGTTGACTTTTAAAAATATGTAGTCGTTCAACCCCTAATTAGAATGCTGTGGAAATTAGTGTGGAAATCTATGGATAAAAACACACACACAGCCTCTGGACGGTGATATGTAATTTTGACAATCTTGTTTGAGAGAAGACCTCATGCACCTACTGTGATTTCTGGCAGCCCCCAGGTTGGGAAGAGCTGCTTTTTATGTTAACATTTCAAATTGGGCTCTGCCTCCACATTCTCAAAGCTCAGCATGAAAGGCGTTTCGGTTCAATAATGGTTCATCTGAAGTGGATGTAAACATCCTTCAATTAAATTTGAGAGTCTGCCCTCTCACTCGACAGCCGCTGATTAATTTAAATTTCACACTCTTGGAGTACAGATCCAATGCAGCCAAAACTGAATCGCCTTCCTGACGGCACCAAATCAAAGATTGTTGAGGTGTGACAACTGTGCTCATCACAGGTGAAGCTGCATATGAGTGAAATCAAGGTGAGGCTTCAGTGGGCAGCATCCTGTTACAAAAATTACTCCCCAACTCTGTCAGTGTGGCTTTCGTCCGCCGAGCCACCGCTGCGTTTATATCGAAGGTACTGCATGTGCTCATGTGCTCTAAAAGAGTCCAAATTGCTTCCTAGAGGGAAGAAGATGAAAAGGCAGCTCTCTGTTTTATATCTCTATAAGTGTGGGGAGTGACAGACAGAGCTGACTCTTCTGTGGTTTAAGTGAAGGGATGGATTTAGTGAGCGTGAAATGCTATTTAATCCATATGGGGTTCTGCTTCGGATTGGGCCGTGACAGAGATGACACCTCCACTCCCAACTCCCCCGCTCCTCCTCCAGTGCTGTTGTTAATGAGGAGGTGCTCCTAGGAGGCCCACCCTCCTTTGTTGCTGTGTAAATAGTGTAATTGCAACAAGAGTGCAGTAATGAAGTGTTTTCCATTCTTCTCATGTACATGTGCACTTTCTCTCTTTTTTTCTTCTGATTCTTTTTCTCTGCTCCCCTCCTCAGTCTGTCCCCCTTTGCATTTTTCTCCTATCCCGTTCTCCTCCCGCTCTCCGCTCTCACCCCTCATCCTAATTTCCCGTCCAAACGTCACGGCAGAGGCAGACATCCGGGCAGGGACCTGTTGTGTGCACCAGCAGCACTGTGTAATTAAGCTGCTTTTAAATCGCGAGCATAAATAAAAACTAAACGGAGGCCTCCAGTGCCCTCCACCCGAGCTCCTTCAAGAAAAGCCAATAATATGCTAAGCTAATGAGAGGCGCAGCATTGATTCCAGCGCTGCTATAAGGGCGCGAGCTCTGGATATGCTCCGATGCAGGCTGGAGTTTTAGCATTGTAATGAGGTTGAAATGAAACACCATGTCCTCGAGCGCCGCAGTCATGTGGGATGAGGCAGCGAGTGCTTTGTGCTGTTTGGCAGCGCGCTCGTCGGGACACTGAGTGCAGAGAACTCAGTGTTGTTTGATACGCTTGGAATTGTTTTTATTTTGGCTCGGGGACGTTTTGTGACGGGGAGAAAAGAGTCCACCCTATCAATTTGAAATTTAGCTCTCATCCTTCGGATTTCTTCTTTTCTTTTTCTGCTGTTTATTTCTTGGATTTTTGTTTTCTTCCACTTCGCCTTTCGTCTAACGTTGCACTCTGATGGCCAGTTGGAAATAGCTCTGCATGCTCTTTTCATCTCCTCTCTTTGTAGATGCCCTTTCTCTAGTTTGCTCTTTTTATCTTCTTCCATTTTTGTCTTCTTTAATGCGATTCCTCACTTGCACACTTCCATCTCCTCTCCTCCTTCTGATGTCTCTGTATTTGTATGAGCGAGGCCCCTGAGCATATTCTAATCTCCCGGTTCCATATTAGTGCTTTGCCTGCAGCACCTTCATTAGTCGCTCGGCTCCGGCTCGGTGTGTGACGGCGCGCGCACATCAGCAGCAGCAAATGTGAACGCACGCGCAAAACTGCTGCTTGAGTACCTGCATGCAAGTTTCCCTGTGCTGCAAACTCGGGAGGCTGTCTTTGGATGCAATTATGCATGCATCTGTTGGATTGCTCTGTGTGGTGATCGTGACGCTTCTGCCCCCTGCTGTTTGGTGGAAGAAGTGCTCAACCTGACCAAAGTCACGTAGGACGCACTGCACTGCACTGGCATCTCAGTGGATGAGCTCATCTCCAGTTTAGTGAGCGTATCAAGTGCTCTCCCAGTATTCTGTATTGCATTACAGGGAGGAAGGAAAAGATCTATAGAAGGACGAGAGCATGAATTATTTACCGTGTGTATCGTACAAGAAATGACTTGTTCTCATCACCATTTTATACACAAACTTTGATTCAAAGAGCACAAACACAGCAGGTCCTGTGAATTTTTATTGACTTGTTTTATATAATGAAACCATTTAATGAACAAGTATCTCTTTAAGTCATTCAGTTTTTATTTAAATGTAGATATGTCTCAAATTAATTTTACAAGAAGAAAGCTCAGTTATTGAGATGTTTAGATCAGAAATGTGTGGGGCCAAAACTCTATTTTTTTGTCTGTGTATGTACATGTATATGTCTGGTCATTTGTCTGTTCTGTTGGCAAAATATCTTATCACTCGCTGTGCAGACTTTAATGAAACGTTCAGGAAGTAATCACTGGGTTGAAATCTACAACTGATGAGCTTTTAGAGCCAGCCTGATTCAAGGCGGCCCACACAACCAACTGATTATAGAAAATGTAAATGGTTATAACACAGTCAGTTTTACAGATATTGAACTAAATTTTGCTGTGGTAGTAGCTGAGCTCATAACTTTATGTTCAAGGTTTACCAAAAATAGTTATAACTCCTCTTCATAGATCAAAGAGATTGGATTAGGGAAAAGAAAAAGATATATGTTCGGGGAGGAAATGAAATAATCATAGAAAGATATTTGGTATTGTAGCCCTAAATTAGTTTTAGTTTAGTTTAGTTTGTTATTTTTTGAGCATGTAAAAACACAAACAAACAAACAAACAAAAATACAGCATGAAACATAATGTCAAAACTTTTAGTTTTACATATTCAAGGGAGTGGGTAAAATTATAAACTTAACAAAATTCCCACTCCTCAACCACTTACATAATCTTACACTCATTACACGAATAATCCATACCTATAACAACTAAACACATATTTAACCCATCAATATAGTATCTATTTAACTACAGTAGATAAACAATTATTATTTCTTTAACTTCACCAAAAAAAAAAAACTAGCATCAATAACAACAACATCAACAATAATTGAATAATAATATTATATATTATTATATCCAGCAATAATCATATGTTTATATGATCATTTGAACAATTTTATGTTTGGACATTGTCTAAGTTCAATTTTCAAATTATTACAAAGTTTGACTTCACTTACTGATACACAAATTAAAAAATAAAGAGTGAATGCATTTGTTCGGAGATGCTTCCAGTAACTGTTAATTACTGACTGCAACAGAGTCATCAACACTCACATCAGTCTGCTGTTTTGTTGTGACCAGACACGAGCCACAGCAGAAACGTTTCTGTAAATTGGAGGAAGGAAAAACCTCATTACAGCTAAATTTGATTGTCAAGTATAATTTAAAAAGAGGTCGTCCTGTGCAGGTGTGGTGCTCGTGTGATACGAAGTTAATCCACTTTTAAAGTGAAATGATGCCAGAACTGCACAATGCCTTGTTGAAAGTTTGTTTTTGTTTTTCTTGTAAATTTCATTTTTTGAAAAAGTGAATGTTTTTCATTCTCTCAGCATTTATAAATTATTTTCCTACTTACATGAAGACATTTGTAGAATACATTTAGGGACTTAACAAGCATCAGTTTGGGGGTTGTGCATTTAAATAGCATCATTTCCTAACTTTTCTACCGCAGCATTAGAAGTAAAGTTCATCCAGTTGCTGTTTTTGATATCACAGTTTCTTCTGTGCGAGTGCTGTAAAGTTTTTAAATGGTGCTAATCTGTTCCTCCTCTGTGTCGATTTGTACCTTCAGACAGCAAAAAGCGTACCTGGCAACGCAGGGCCCCCTGGCTGAGACCACCGAGGATTTCTGGAGGATGCTGTGGGAGCACAACTCCACCATTGTCGTCATGCTCACCAAGCTACGAGAGATGGGCCGGGTAATACAAAACCCCACGCTGAACACAACAGATGCAGCGCCTGTAAGGTCATCGAACCGTTTCAGGGGGTGATAATAATCTTTATACGATGGCTCGGTTCAGCTAAGCTGCCGCGCCACGCTGCTCAAATATTAATTCATTCCGAACCTGAACAATAACTGCAGCTGAAAGTTTGCCCCCTTATCACCGCGGCTGGAATGCACCTGGGTTCAAACCGGGACGCGTCAGATTTGTCAATAACTGGGAGCGTTCCAGGCATACTGATAACTCCCATACTGTCTGAATACATTAGACTTTATACGAAACAGGATCTGTTGCGGTCCGATTCTCTTCTTTAGCTTCCTCTGGTAGCTTAACGTGAACAAAGTTTTAATCAAAGGCTCTTGGGCGCTGTTACAAACGTAGGGATATAATATTTCATATACTTTCATAGTAAATATTTTTTAGTAGCTCATCTTAAAAATTTGGAAAGGTGTTTTGTTGACTTCTTAGGTTTTCAACTGTTTATTGCCCAGTCATGAAAGGCAAGTGACAAAATTGCCTGTTTATTTGCCTGTCTGTTAGCAAAATAACTCATGACTTTGTTAGCGGATTTTAATGAAACTCACTGAAAGTAATGAATGTCTGTACAACTAATTAACTTATGGAGTCAACCCAATTCAAGATGACTGCCACAGCTACCATCATTTCCAGACTATAAGACACTACTTTTTTCACACTTTTTTTTTTACTCTGCAGCTTATACAATGCTGCAGCTAATCTATGGATTTTATTTATTTATTATTTTTTTATTTTTGACAGGCTAACGAGCTTCATGCCGCCAAAACATTTAGCCTCGTCACACCCAGGCGCTCACATAGCTGCACAATATACGTCTCTCTTAGGGGGTGGGTCTTCATGACTCAATGAGACTACCTGTATAAATAAAGGTTTTAAAAAATAATCTGGCCAATGACATTACTAAACAGGTCACAGTGGACCAATGACATGGGGAGCGGGAAGCTTGCACAGATATGAAGATAGCAATCACTAGCTATGTTTACATGTGTTTATATATATATATATATATACATACATACATACATACATACATATATATATATTAAATGGATTAAACGGCCATTCGGAATAAAAAAATGTGTCATGTAAACGCCCCATTCAGATTATTCTGATCTGATTCAGCTCGAACCGAATGAGTTTGTAATCTGAATGAGAGGGGTGGTTTATGCCGATTCATAATCCAAACTGTGTGCTTGTAAACACTTAATCTGATCATTTTATTCTGATTGTGGAAAACTGACCTGACTGCACATGTTGGACCTCTGTCAACCTCGCGTATTTCCGCCTGGCTAATGCTAATATGTCGAGGAAGTTAAATTGGTCAGTGAGTGACAAACATCCACGGCTTATAGACAAACGAGGCTTATATATGTACAGAATTGATTTTAATTTAGTGGGCGTGGCTTATATTCAAGTGTGCTCAATAGTCCTGAAATTATGGTAATCACGTTATCAAATACAAGATATTCTATAACGTAATCAGTTTTACAAATGTTGAGCTGAAATTTGACGTGGTAGTCACTGAGTCATTCCTTTCACTTACTAGCTTCTAACAAGCTGTCATTTCTCAATATAAGATGATCTCAGTGTAAAACTCTGGCATAAAAGGATGACAGGCGTTCTTTCTGTTAACTTTACACATAGAGTTAAAGTTTGGTGTGGGAGTAGCTGAGAGTTGTCCTCAACACATTCTGAGCACCTCCAGATCTTTGTTTAAAATGTTGGCATTCAAGATTGTGGGCGACACGCATTCTTTTCAATGAGTGCTAGTTTTATTTATCATCTACTTTTCTCATTACCAACTTTTTCCCATGAGCCACCTTCAGTTTTTTGCCTGTTTTCAGATTTGATATTTTGTTCTGTTTAAATAAAACACGTGGATTACTCATTAAGAAACAAAAAAAAAAACGCAACCGTCACCTAAAACCTCCAACTTCTCACTTAAGAAAGAACTCACTCGTTTGGATACCCCCCAAAAAAAAGTATTTCTGACATGACTCCGCTTTTATTCCCCTCTCAGCCACAGCTGATGAGAGAAAACACTCAACATCTGCATTATTGTTGTAGTCAGGCACACGAGCATGTTCTGTAAATATTTTGTCACCTAAGATGAATCCGTGTTAGATTAGTCTGCTGAGATTCCTTTTCATAACGGAAAGTGATTAATGACTTACAGTAACTGAAAAATATCAATCTTTCAGTCGTGCGCCAGGCAGTAATTATGTAGGAGGGGCTTTTTTTTTTTCCTTCCTGAATGTTTTCGGCTTATAAAAAAAAAAACATTTTGCTGAATATTTCTGCCTTCTTTCATTCTTGCAGGAGAAGTGCCATCAGTACTGGCCAGCAGAGCGTTCAGCCAGGTACCAGTACTTTGTGGTGGATCCAATGGCTGAATACAACATGCCTCAGTACATCCTCAGAGAGTTCAAAGTCACAGATGCCAGGGTACGTCGGTTCACTCGGTGTGAGAGAATCTGCAGCTTTGCTCTTCTCTCTGGGTTTTTTGAAGCTTTCTCTCTATAAATATGTTGGGGAAAGGAGATGCACATTTCTCCAACGTAAATCTACCTTAATTTTAGGTTTCATATGAATCCTGATGCTCGTTAAGTGTTAAAAATTACAGAGCTTGTAATTTCAAGGTGGGGGTGATCAGAACATGTCCCGTGTTATTTTCCTTGACAGGATGACAGCCAGTGAATGCACCATCAAACATGTTTACCCAGATTTAGAAACAGTATGCTTGCTCTATGGATTGTGTGTGTGTGTGTGTGGAGATTGCTGTGAAAATACATGAAAAGCATAGCCTTGGGTCCCTTAGGGGCCGGTACTGGAACTCCCTGTGATGCAGTAGTTTCAACGAGCTATAAATATACTTCAGTGTCATCTGAAGGCTCCCACCACTGCAACACTCTAATCCCACATCCACTCTTCCTTTACTTGCTGTATGTGTGTGCCTCCGTGTTTATGTTCTGCTCTGCAGTTTTTGCATCTAAATGTGTGTTTTTTGCTTTGTGCTTTCATGGTCGTGTGCACACAGGGCGGCCTAAATGGAAAAGGGATTGAAACGACTCTCAGTCGGCCACTCAGTCTGAATAAATATTAAACCAATCAGGCAGATTTTTCACTGACTGATACGTTTAGAAGTACAATCCAAGTATCCTAATAAATTTAATTTGTCCATTCTGACAGCAGAAATAAATTCTCCTTGTCGAGTATTTTGTCATTCGTGGTTACATAAGAGCTGCAGCCCTAATGGTTTTGTCTCCCGTCCAGGTCCGTAGCGCTTCCCAGGTTTTAAATTAGATAATTAGGTGCTCCAACGGGGTTATTTACACTCACTGACTCCAAAATGGACGCCTCTGCTGCGGTTACCGTTTTACAGTGTAAAGAAAGATCCATGAAGCACAAAAACTGCCCGCTACAGCCGAGCGTTATCAGTTCATGGGCTTGTCCACTTAAATGTACTGAAAATCCTTATCTGTGCCACTCAGGATGGACAATCCAGAACAATCCGCCAGTTCCAGTTCACTGACTGGCCCGAGCAGGGAGTGCCAAAAACTGGAGAGGGCTTCATTGATTTTATTGGACAAGTGCACAAAACTAAGGAACAGTTCGGGCAGGACGGACCAATCACTGTACACTGCAGGTAAGAGGAGCGTGGATAAAACACAACTAGCTCTTGTTTTCTTTTACCCTTGTCCTTTTCAGGCGAGACACTATAAGAGAATAAGGTCAAATTACAACAAATAGGTTCAGCCATTAAACCGCAGCCACCTATTATTATCCACCTGAAAAGGGTCTTGCGCTTCCTTCAACTGTAACGCTGCCTGAACCGCACAAATACCGTACCCCCACAAATTTTATATCAAAACGACGGGCTCTGCACTGTGATGTGTGCTGTTACTTTTATTGGCGTTTCAGGTTACCATGGCGACGTAATTTTCAAACAAAGATGCCATTTTTTGTCATTGAAACAAACTATGAATCAGCTTTTTTTTAGAAATATTAAGCTGAGAGCAATGCACAATAAATACTAAATAAAATGAAAAAAAATTTCAATATGGCTGCTGAAGCTAAATTTAAATGGCTTTAATTCAGATATTTTTACACATATACAGCTTAAATTTGGTGTGGTTACCTGAGAATGTTCCCCATCACATCAAACATCCAAGATGGCCACCATAGCTTAAAGAAAAAATACTATAAGTCATTGATTTTTTATTTGTTTTTGCCACATTGAGCTGAAATTTGGTATAGCGGTAGCTTTAGAGCGAACCCCAACACATAGTACTATCGAATCAAAATTTTAATATGGTCACGATGTGGCAGTACCCGTCAAAGTTTCTACAAGAATTTTCTAGTTGAATAGTTACTGTAAGATTATGTTCATAATGTTTAATCTGAATATTTTCTTTTGAATATGAAAAATAAGGCACTAATGAAACACATTTGTGTTTGGTTGATTGACATTTGTGTATTTTGGATTTTTTTCTTAACAACCTAAAAAGTGAACATTCTGCAAAATAAAAGTAGACAAAATTTCTGAATGAAGACAGTATTTTAACTTGTATTACTTGATATTCAATAAAGCATTACTGTATTTTTTGGACTATAAGGCACATTAAGCAAAACTAAACCGTCAGATAAGTCAAACTTTATTCAACTCATTCACAATAACCACATAAATTCGGTTCGAGGTCAGTAAGCACAACAAGAATTAAAACATAAGGCGCACCTGATTATAAGTCTCACCGTCAGTTTAGGGGAAAATTAAAGGATTTTCAGTTCGCCTTATAGTCTGAAAAATATGGTATTTGACAGATTGCTTGTTAGTTGATTGTTAAATAAAAGATTGACCAATTAGTGCAATAAATATGTGTTGGGGATCAGTCTCAGCTACTTCCACATCAAATATGAACTAAATCTGTCCAGCTGAGCCACTTTAGAGCCACTTTTATGTTTGCTAAGGTTAAATGGCCATGGCAGCCATTTTGAATCAGGTTGACTCCAAATGTCCGCTGTAGATGTACATGGGATGATTACTTTAAGTGTTATTAAAATCTGCACACTGGTTCATGAGATATTTTGCTGACACACAGAAACAGACCTTTTTACAGGATCGCTCATCTTTTGAAGCAGCTGGTGATAATATTTGGAACATTTCAAGTTGTGTTCAAGATGCCAAAATATCAAATTAGGTCTAATTTTTAGCTGTTCATTTCAGTGATGAGATCATCTTTAGAGCAAATATTACATTTTAAGATACAAATAAATAAAAGGAGACATTTTGGCTCCTAAACTAACATCACATGAGCAACAAGCTCCTGCAGGAATGTAGGAAACAGGTTCAAAAATGCTGACGGTGACGGCGAGAGCAGAACGATCCAAACGAGGAGGAGAGCAACATAAAGGAACGTCCCACTGAGCCAGAATTAGAATGAAGGTTACAGAAAGGGAGTATGAGCACTTTGACTCAGAGATAGCTGCAATGAGATTATCGGACATGGGCTGAATGATTCTGGCAGCGTGGGAAAATGGATGTGACAAAGAAGACAGAGCAATAAATGTGGCCTGTATTCAGAGCCAGAACCAGTCAGAACTGACATTTCTCACTGAGCTGAGCTGTTCATTTATTATACATTACTGAAAAAAAAGCCTCTGACTTTTCATCGTTACCTATAGTACAATCTCCAATTGAAAGTTATAAACGCTTTATCGTTTAAACTCATGTGCTCCTTGATAATTTGATTTCCTGTTCCTATTTGACTTGCAGTGTCTCCCTTCAGAGGTTCAGAAAACCAAAAAGTAATAACGTTTAAATGAATGAAGCTGTTTTTCAGGCAGTTTTGTCTCCAATCGTCTACAGCAGCAAGATTTCATTTTGCAGTAGATGCAATAATGAATATGTGGGTGTTTGTTTCACAGTGCCGGGGTAGGCAGGACCGGAGTCTTCATCACCCTCAGCATCGTGCTGGAGAGGATGAGGTACGAAGGTGTGGTGGACATCTTCCAGACGGTGAAGACGCTCCGCACCCAGCGGCCCGCCATGGTGCAGACCGAGGTACCGACAACACACCGACTTTAAATCCTTCACACGCGAAGCTGTTTGGCAGTCAGTGGGGTTCATGTAGGATCGTGATTTAAGACCGCTGTCATCCAAAGTGTCCATTTTTATAGGAGGACTCAACAAAAACTAAAGACTTAGAGACAAATCCCTCTTTAATGAAAGGTTTAGTGTCTCATCAGAACTAATTTATCTGGTTTTATCACAGATTTGGCCCAAATATGTGTTAAATACAAAAGTCATAGTGTGACGTAAAATAAGTTTGTGGAGATTTGAAAAAGTTTCCACAAATTTATAAACTGTCAACTTTTGTTGATAATAATCCAAAGTACTTCTGCTAGTTCATATTTTGGTTATTTTGGAAGGTAGCTTGGTATGGCAAGCCAAGTATCTCATTAATAGCCACTTTTACCTATTAATGAGACACTTGGCTTGCCATATTACTCGAGCGTCCTCTAGCAGCTGAAAGTGGTAGTGTTCGATATTTTCCATGTCAGAATGAATGAAATCGTCAGATCTCAGACAGAAACTGGGTTATAAGTTTGAGGAAAAAAAACATAAATGAGTTGCTTCGCCGTATAAGTCGCATGGCGTGCAAATTTATGCAAAAAGATGCGACTTGTATGGCGAAAAGTATGGTAAGTATAAACATAAAATGCTGACTCAGCATTCACAGTATACAAAGGATGAAGTGTCTGACTGCCTTCGTCTTCTCTTCAGGACCAGTACCAGCTGTGCTACAGGGCAGCACTGGAGTACCTGGGGAGCTTTGACCACTATGCAACGTAACCTCTCCCACTGAAGCAGCTTCCCCCGGTCAGACCTCTCAGGAGTGTGCCAAGTGTCCCATTTCAGCCACCATCCACTCACTTGACCCCTTAAAACCCGACCCTTCCTGCAGCTACTGGAGGGGTTAAGGAAGGGACGAGCACGCGACCCGTCGAGGGTTTTTAACCAATCAGAGATACACGCCGTGTTAACATCCACCTGAGATTTTGCTTTAACGACAGAAACTCCGACGAGCGCATCAGCTCTTGTACAGATCCGACAGCGCAGGGCGGCAGCTCGCCTCTCTGCTCCGTCGAAGCCAAACCTCCCTGATTGTCAAAGGCTACTGGTAGCACTAAGAGAGCATCCTCTCTGTTTTTATTATTGTTATTAATTTTACTGTCAATATTATGATTCATTTTGTCAAAACTTATTGTTTAGTATACTTTTTACATTGCTTTTAATAATCATTTTAATATCAGACATTTCCTTCGTGTTAAACGGCTCAGACACTGGGGCATGCATTATTTTCATAATCATTTTTAGGGTACTTTAGCACACGGGACATGAATTTTTAACATGTTCCTATATACTAATACAAGAGGACCACTGTTCTCTGAGCTGCTGTCAGATTTTGTTTGGTTTTTTTCTATTCAGTTACAATGGTTGTCGTCAGTTCAGTAACTCGGATTGCCTTTTCGCTCGCCGTTACCAAGTTTCAACAGAAAATCAACTTTGAGGAATTTGATTTTACAGACTTGTCGTAGTCGTCCCTCTGTAACCGCAGTAGATAGCTGAAAACACAAGTGAATTACCGAACACGAGGTGCACAGAAACGGGAAGCACATTATTTCTATGTATTGTTTTTTGGGTTTTTTTGCGGTTTGTGTTTTTCATCAGAAGCCTATGGCATTGAGGCCTTCATTGCTCTACAGCGGAGAACTTACCTGAAGAAAACAGACTTTTATACCCAAAGGGTAGACAACAGGAAAAATAAAAACAATCTCCCCATCTTTGAATAAAGATGCTCTTCAAGTCCCTCCCGTCTCCTCGCTGGCTTTGCTGGAGTGGGACCAAACGGACCAGGGCTGAGGAGTAGAGCCATCCATGTCGGTACCTGTACAGAATCAACCATTCCTAACCAGAGGGACAGAGACTCCTGCCTTTGGACTCAAACCTGATGTTATTTTATACAGAAATAGAACTATAAATATATATATAATTATGACTGATTATATATATGTATGATTACACATAAATATATTCACAGCTTCATAAATATATTGTTAAAAAGGATTAATTCTGCAAATCTACCTAGAGACACTGCAGAGAGCCTGCTGTCCTAAGAGTGTGTATTAATGGAGACACCGTTGTATTTACTGTAATACCATAGTAACTTCAACAGCTGGTTGTCCACATGAGGAAAAACAGCACAACCCCACTCCCCTTACCCCCTAAAACCCTGCCACCAATCCATCCATCAAAATGGACAACTCCACTGGGAAAGCACACACCCCCCTCCACCACATGAACGGCAGGAGGGGAGCGTCTGATCGCTGGTGGGAGGACGAGGGGAGGGGGGGACTCGACAAACGCTGGCAAAAAACAAAAGCTGTTCATTTTTACCTTGTGAATGCTTAGTGCTGTAGGGGTTCAATCTGTTGTACACACAGTCTGTTTTCTATTTGTTGACAAAGAACTGGAACTTCAGAAATCATCTGGTGATGAAAAAGAAAAACCTTGATGTTAATAAAGTTAAATATTTGGGTTTTGTATGAAGGTCTGGCTCGTAATGCTTTTTGTTCTTTCCACAACAGTGAACGTTAAAATCCCTCACTCAGATATTACATCATAGAGTCTTTTTGTCTTTTAGACAAAAAAAATACCAGGAAACTGTCTGAGTTGTCACTTCCTGTTTCTACAAGCTGCTGCCTCCGATCTGAAAAGTGTTGCAGTCGTGTAGGAAGGAATCCAGAGAGATCTACGCCGTCTTATTTGTTTAATAGGCTTCAAAATAAAAGTCCCCTTCCATACAAATACTTTTTTTGCCAAGTAAACAATCATCTCAACACAAACCCTCTTGGCTACATTTTTCTGGATTCTTCAACTCCGTCTTGCAGTCGACTGCAGCAGAGCAGAGTTTGCTCTGTTGCCATGGTGATGGGTCACTTGTTTCTAGATTATGTCTGGTATATTTCCACATTAGAGATGGTGTATTTTGTGTCTTTGTCCCTTTTTATTTTTCTTTGTCACCAGTCTGAAGTGGTCGAGACTTTCCATGAACAAAAAGTGGCGTTGTTTATAACTGGATGGAAATCTAAAACTGGCGATAAAGTTTGAATTGTTTGCTTCTGTTACCATGGAAACATAAAACCACACTAACAGTTGGTTCTGATGGAGACGAATGGGTTTTCATATTTAAATGGGCTTAAACGAACGCAGGCTTTGCTCTAAATGTTTCCAAAAATGCAAACACAAAATATTGTAAATTGTGTTCTCGAATCCCTGAGATTATTTATTTGTTTTACCAATTTAAAATTATTCTGAACAAATCAACAAATTATACTGCAGGTCAGTTCAGTTTAAGGTTAACAGACGGAGGTTTATTTAGTTGCCATGGTGATGTTTTTATTGCTATTTATGAATATTTAATTGTAATTCAAGATGGGGAGTTGTATCTGAAAGAATTTATTGCGTGCAATAATTGTGCATCTCATTCTGGATTTGTTCCCAAACAAAAGACGCACAGATTTTTTTTATTGTTTTAAAGTGATGTTTGTGTTTCCACAACATAAAAAGTCTCAACAAAGTTCAGGTTCAAGAAATGAACGAAACGTTGCAGTGGTTTAAAGTTCTGTTTAGAGGAGTTTGTTTTGTGTTTTCTAAGAGCAGTTGGCTGTGGCGGCATCTCGAGTCCGGTTCAGTCCAAAAGCTTTTCAGTTGTAGATGCACGTTCACGTCTTACTTCCTGTAAGTTTCATTAAGTTTGTCCCGTGCTCCAGGAGATATTTTGGCACAACAAACAGTCGTCTTAACGTCGGTGATAATAACAAGTGATGGTGATTCTAAAAGTTTAATTCACGGCTCACGTCGGAGAGGATAGTAATGAGTCCGTGTTACCATAGCAACGCCACCATCCTGTAAACCTGCTCAAAGCCACATGGACTGGTTCTGATCCAGTCAAGTTTTCTGAGCTGTGTTCCTGATAACAGAGGACAGGATGAAGACGAGCTGCAGCATCATATGTGTCTTACACAAAGAATGGAGTTCAACCAAGAAAAACAAATAAATAAAAACATCTGATGTAAGTGATGGATTCCCGCTGACTGGGATGAAATATCTGAAGACGTCAGAATGTAAATGTGGATTTAAAGAAGAGCTTTTGTAGCAGTTTCACGCCTTAATGCCGCTCTGTAATGTTCATAAAGCGTGTTGGAGTGGAGCAGTTTCCCGTTTGATTGTGCTCTTGGCTCCAGACTGCACTGCAGACATTCACACCTACAGGAGTGTCACAGCTCTGGTCTGACACGCTGCCGTTATCTCTGCTGAGCAGATTGCAGCTTAGCTTGAACGCTAATATTCTGTTCATGAAAGCTAATAGTGAGGCTGCATGAAGCTCATTTACAGCAGAAGAAAGAGTTCTTGTTGTTTGTGGAAGCTGCGTTGTGTGGAGGGAATTTCAGCTGTGGCATTTTACAAAATGTTGTTTTGGATACAAAAACAAACCAAACAAGTGACATCATTGTGTTTGTATGAATGTGCCTCACTGAGCTCCATTCCTCTTGAATTACCTTTGTCTTGTCTTGTTAGTTATCGGTAAAAACCCATTTTTGCTGCACTTTGAAAGAGCCAAACTGAGCAGCACAGCTTGTAACTTTTATCACCAGACCATGAGTGATCTGAAGAGGTAAAGAAATTTGAAACATGCTTGAATAGTCGACGCCACCGGCCTCTAAGTGTACCGTGATGTTTTTGTAGGAGGTCTGTTGCAGATGAAGAGGAGCGTGAAGGTGAGTTGCTCCTCCTGAAGATTAAAGCCCACCTGGAGGAGATGTTCTCTGACAGTTACCTGGCGGAGGACGGCTTCCTGCTGAAACACATGCAGAAGAACAAGCAGGGCTACGTCAGCCTGAAGCTCCTCACCTGTCTGAAGAAGGTAAACAGACTGTTAGTTTTTGTGTGGGCTCTTGGTGCAGCTATTTGAATGAAAACAGTTCAGATTTAAAAAAGAAAAACCTGAACAGAGCTGAGTTTGCCCGTGTTTGCTGCAGATCAAGGCCCTGACCACAAACTGGTACATGACCCTGGCAGCAGCGGATTGCTCAGACCTTTTGGAGATAAACGATGAATGCACCAAAGTGAGGCGCAAAGAGCCGCTTCCCCAGTGGCTGATGGGTTCCCCCACCAGCAGGCTGCTCCTCGTCTGGAACGACTCTGGCGACCAGGGGAAAGAGGACGGAGCAACGGGAGAGTCGGAACATCCATCGCTCCTGCTGAAGGTCCTGGATAAGTTCACCAGTCCCAGCAGCGTCAGCTCCAGCTGGATCCTGCGTCCTGGAGAAAGACTTCCCAAAGAGCTCCAGTGCTACGCCAAACGCCACAAAGAGCTCGGCCAACACGTGTGCGCCGTGGTGAAGTTTACTCATTTTGAGGCAGTTCGTAGGACCTTCAGTGCTCTTAAAGAAGAAGAGAAAATGAACGAGAGGGGCTTGCACGTGGTGCCTTTAGGATGGCAGTCGATGCAGAGCGTCGCCAAGTCCGAACCATCAGAGGAAAAGCACAGAAGCCAACCAGAGGAGGACGTTTGCTCTGAGGAGAAGCTACTGGAAATCCCCATGGTTCTGGTTCAACGTGAACCTTCACCTGTTAAAGATTTTGAGGAAAACTCCAAAGCGTCTCCACCTGAAGGATGCCAGAGCGAGAGCTCCACCAGCTTCGACAGCCCGTCCTTCTGTGGAATAAAGCAGAGGTACCACAAGAAGAGCTGGGACGCCGGAGACAACGTCAAACAGAGTTCTCAGAGCCCATGGGTACTCAAGCGCAAGTCCGCAGCAGTAAACCTTAATGCTAGGCACCCAAATGCACCCTGTTTAGTTCAAACACTGCATCAACCCTTTGGTCCTGATGGCACCAGGGGGTTCCATACCAGAAGGAAGTGACCAGACCCTCATATGGATGGAATAGATGTAGCAGACTGAGCTAAAAATAAATAAATAAAACATAAAATATGTTTCATTAAAGCAAAATCTAAGTCCTGTTGAGTCTTTCCTGCATGTAGTTATGAATCTTTGGCAGTAGGGGGCAGCATGTAGCTGTCATCACTTTTTTTTTTCATCAAAATGCAAAGCAGTCTAGTTGCATACTAAATAAATGTGTTGCTAAAACACAAAGCATATTATGGAGAAGACAAAACTTTATCCTGAGCCACGGTGGTGTCATTATGCCTCTTTTATAACATCAGTGGCATCGGAACCACTTGGCCTGGCTCCTCTGGTCCACACTGCACAGTATAATTACTCCTCAGCCAGGATGAATTTACCTAGTTACTTTCTCAGCCTCCACAAAAAAAAAAAAAAAAAAATGCTCGTCTTTCAACATATAAAAAGTCCTGTGTTTTTCTCCTAAATGCCTGTTTAGACCTGGGCTCTTTGAAAAGTAGCTTTCCACTCTCTGACATGACACTTGGCAACAGGCCGCCGGTTCAAGCGCCGAGCCACAAATTGCGCAAGACAAGCGGCGCAGCAGCGTTCGCGCCGTTCTAATGACACCTCAACTGGAATGGTGTGTTTACAGTGTTACTGATTGAGGGCTTCCTTAAAATCCTGCCCAAACCTAAACAGAATGTGTTTCTCCACTCCTCCACGCCCTCGTGGAAACGCTTCAATCCACTGTATGTGGAATTCAATCATATCAAGATTAGAAACACACGTTTAGTTTAGGTTATTTTTTGTTTTCGTCCTGAATGTGTGTTCAAATGTCAGCATCTTTGTGACTAATGTTTCCTTTGCTGTTGAGTGAGACTTTTTATGGCGTACCCATCAAATGTTTGTCTTTCTTTGACTTGATTTTGCAATTAACAGCTGTTGAGCTTTAAAAAAATCAGCTACAGGCCGGGCTGTGAAAACTACACATCTGTGAACAATATGTATAGAGACGAAATGTTCCGGCCCGATGTCAGGAAATGTTTCTGTGCTCCATTTCAAGGCTGCAAAAGGCACAACCTCTTGCAGCTAACTGGAAGTCATTATGCGTTTACATACGGCTCCTCTGGCCTAAAAGTGAACTGTACATCAAAAAAAAAAAAAAAAAAGTCAGTTCTGATGATGTGTCTCTCTCTTAGTTGATTTAAAGGTGGAGCTGAGGTGACCCTGCACCTGCTGATGGCAACCAAATGATTTTTGGACGCGTTGTTGATCTTTATGTTGCAAAAAGACAATCTTCAAACCCTAAAAATGAACTATTTGTTAAAAATAACAAAACGATTTTGGAATTTCCTGTTTGTTATACCTCATCTATGACGAAACTTTACATCTTTACATGTTAACTCTGAGCCAAATCTCTGCCTTTACTGGTGTAAAGTGTTCGGCGTGTCAGAATCCCTTAGCAAAAAGTAGTTTATTTAAGTGTACTGCAAGTATACTTATTTTACTCTAAAAACGAGGGAGTGTACTTGAAGTTTACTTTTTATAAACTTTATTTGATATACTTAAAAATAGCATAAAAATGTCCCAATTTAGTCCAAACAAGTATTAAATCAGTATACTTCTAGTACACTACAAGTATGGTGTGTAGTATACTTGATATACTTATACAGTATCTTAAAGTATACTTGCAAAAATAAACTTCAAATGTACTACTTTTTGTTAAGGGATGAGTTGTGGTAAGAGATAATTATTAACAAATATTTGTTTCCTGTTGTGTTTCCAGCCTTACATTTGATTTATTTCACGCTCCGGGCTCCAGATCTGATTTTGGAGCCTCGGCTCTGTTTGGATCCAGGCTGTAAATTTGTTTAACGCGTGGTTGCTGCTCCCAAACACCACCTGTGGAGTTCTGTGCATCGTGTTTCGTGCATCAGTTCTGCTCACTCCTGAAACCGTTTGGCCGGTTGTTTATAACATTACTGACCCCACACACCTGACACATTTCCTCCGGGAACAGGGGGTATTTATTTAGATTGCAGTCTGGAGTGCCTGATATCTTGCAAAAGCACAACCATCTGCTCCTCATTTGCCGCTCGAGGGCTCACGGGCAGAAACACGAGGGTTTGTGTTGGAAGGGAATGTGAGGTCCTCAACAGCACCCACCGTTTTATCTCCATCAACCTGGTTTGAATTAATCATTACCTCTTTTTTGATCATTCTATTTGAATGGGGTTAATGTTGTCTTAGTGACATTTAAACCAATTGTGAACCTTCCTAATTCCCCTTAAAACGATTGGAAAACACTTCCATCAGCAGACCCTTCTGACTGCACTGATTTGCCCATTTGAGGCTATTACCAAGGGCTCGTGGCAGAAGGTGAATGTAAGCTCTTGCTGAGGCCAAAGCATCCTTTAGTGCTCCTGGAGTTAGGGCCAGGAAGATTAACATATCAGGAGTAATCCGACTCGGTCCACAAGCACAACTATGGAGGAGGAGGAGCAAGAGTTTTAGGGGGGAAGGAAGGCAGAGGCATCAGAGGGAAGCGCTCTGCTCCTCTTACCGTAACTGTGCTCCTCACCCTGACCCATCCTCTCGACCCGCAGACTTGCCCTCCTGGGAGCTGGAGAGAAGAGACCTGCTGCTGGAAAAGAGGGTAAGGAAGATGTGCATTGTCCAAACAGCAGTGCAGTGAAGACCAAGTGCTCTGGGGGGGGGGTGGGGGGGGGGGGGTGAGTTTTCACAACAGATGGGATAAAAGTTAGGACATCTGTGAGATCTGTTTATTGCATGCCACTGCACTTCAGCTCTGCTCTCTCTCTCCTTCTGTTTTAGGTTAAACCTTCATGCAGAAACAGAAGAGCTGAAGTTCTGCGTGGAGACGCTTGTTCTATCCCAGAGCTGAACTTTTTAAAGTCATCTTTTCCTTTTTCATATTTCTTTATTTCTATTTGAATGGATCCATGTGAGTGCCACAAAGCGCACGCTTCCATTCAGAGGAATGCTGATTTTGATCTTTGCCACCTGAAAGAATTCTTTGGAAGAGTTAAATCTGGTTGAAGAATAAAACACCCTGGACTTGAGTCAAGTCAGGACACCTCCCGTACTTGCAGGACGAGGACTTGGTTGTTTTCATGGGGAAAAGCAGGAGTCCTGCTTTTGCTCCTCACCTGTGATGATGATGGTGATGATGATGGATTTACCCAGTCAGCACTTGCCTGAGGAGGTCAGCTGAAGACGACGCCACGCAGCTAAGTCTGGATTAGCCGGCCGAACGGTAAGGACAGAGCATCTTCTTTTGTTAGTTTAAGCTGGCAGCTTATGTGGGAAGGCGTTGGGTTGCTGCTGACAGAAATGCCTCCCCGAGTGCCTGAGTGGCAGAAAACACACGTCGGCTTATCTGTATCAACAAGCGGCCCTCGCAGGGACCACATGACAGCGCAAGGCTCTGCAAGCCTGGCACGAAATGTTTGCAGGGTGTCACTGCTGATTCGAAATCCTGCTGCCATGTTGCAACAAAAAAAAAAAAAAAAGATTGTATTTTTAATCTCACTACACAGACAAGTCAGGAAGGAACTCCTCCAAAGTAGTTTGCCTCATTTTCATGCGTAACTGCTCCCAAAATATTCTCTGGTTGCCAGAAGTTCTTTCATTTAGACATGTCAAACTGTTTCAGCTTATTATTTTTACTCTGCCTTCGTTTTCTCATGGGCTTATTTAGTTGTTTTTTCTAGCAGAGCTGCAGCTTCTGATAGTTTCATTGATTAAGGGGATTGAGATTAAAATTTATTAGACGTGCAAGGACTCAGTTGGATTATATTTTTGACGCGATGATCCCCTTCGCATTAAGCCTATATCATATGTAGAGATTAGAATGTTTCTATCCGAGGCCCAAAGGGCCGGATTGAGGTTAAGCCTGGGGTCAATTGAGCCGTTCAACTTTCATAACCTGTTAAATCTGCTCAGGAAACTACACCTGCGGCGCATTGTTGAGCATGAACTTTGATACACCTCAGTGGATTTTCCCGTTTTGTCCTCATAATCTAGGTAATATTTAAATTACAGATATTCCGGTTGATTACTTACATTCAGCAGGTCCTCGCTCTGCTGTCAGCACCCGTCAGGATGTGGACAAAGAGCGTCTGTTACCACAACATCACCAGTAACACAACTTTTGGGTGCTGTGGATTGCAGGGTGGGGTCTGTGTGGATTTTGTTTGTTTCCCTCACATGCCACCAGATCACGTCTGGCAAATTTTACAACCAGAGGAACACCTCGGAGTCTTTCTTGTGCTCTTTGAGCTGCATTTGAAGTGGCTTTTTAGAGACTAATTACTGAGGTGCTGATGTGGAGGGAATAATTGGCCTGTAAAACTGTTTACATGCATGCCAAGTGTCAAACTATTGTCCCTGTGAATCACAGGAATGTAGAATCCCCAGTGAAATATAAAGCTGTGTTTCTGTTCATAATGTTAGATGGTTCCGGTGTTTTGCTACAGCTGCGATCCTCGACGCCAAATCAGAGCTAAATTCCCAGAAAGCACAAACCTGAACAAGACAAATGTAGTTTTGATATGGCTTGCCACCATGAAAAGCAGGTGGTCATGTGATTGTCAGGGTGTTTTTTTGTTTGTTTGTTTATTAGCAAAATCTCATGAACCACAGGATGGATTTTAACAAAACGCTCGGAACGTAAATCATTGGATAAACATCTACAGCTGATTAACTTTTAGTCAACCCGATTCAAGGTGGCTGCCCCAGCTATTCATCTGTAACAACACAATAATATTTATAGTCAAATTTACTTTTCCGGAGCTGAAGTTGGAGCTGAGAGTCATCCTCAATGTAACTTTGCGCTCCAACAGATCGTACGGCAGTTTCTGTATAAAACGTTGATGGAGTCAACCCAATTCAAGATGTCTGCCACAGCACATCGAAACTCAAAAATGTCTACAACTCATTGAATTTACAGATATTGCTCGAACATTTGATGTGGGAGTCGCTGAGAGTCATACTCGAAGTGCTACTGGATCATACAAGAGCTTGAAAATTTTTAATATGCAAGCTGGTGGACTATCTACTGTATGTTTTATCCATCAGCTACTTACTACAAGCTTGTCTTAAAGACATAAAAACCTGGGTGACCCTAAACTTTCTGCTTTTGAACTCAGACAAGACCGAGGTTTTGGTTTTTGGACCTGAGCATGTTAGGAATTAATTTTTCAGTCTTTCTCCCTCTTTGGATGGCATTAATCTGGCCTGCAGTTCTAATGTTAAAAATCTTGGTGTTATTTTTGATCAGGACACGTCTTTTATCCCCCACATTAAAAACGATACTAGAACTGCCTTCTTCCATCTGCGTAATATCACTAAAATTAGAAACTTCTTATCTAAAAATGATGCAGAAAACTGGTCCATGCATTTGTCACGTCTAGACTGGACTATTGCAATGGTTTATTATCTGGATGCCCAAATATGTATTTAAAACATCTTCAGTTAATCCAAAATGCTGCTGCCAGAGTCGTAACTGGAGTTAGTGGGAGAGATCATATCTCTCCAGTTTTAACTTCTCTCCATTGGCTCTCTGTCAAATCCAGAATAGAATTCAAAATCTTACTTCTAACCTACAAAGCCCTCAACAACCTAGCTCCATCTTATATTACAGATCTTATTGTTCCATATTTTCCTAACAGAGCACTTCACTCTCAGACTGCAGGTTTACTTGCGGTTCCTAGAGTTTCCAGAAGCAGAATGGGAGGAAGATCTTTCAGTGATCTGGCTCCTCTCTTGTGGAACCAACTTCCAGTTTCTGTCTGTGAGGCTGACACATTGTCCAGTTTTAAGACTGGGCTTAAGACTTTCCTTTTTGATAAATCCTATAGTTAGGGTTGGCTTGTTATTCTGCTATAGACTTAGACTACTAGAGAACAAACTGACATCATTTCCTTAAATGAATTGCTGAAATTGAATAGTTTTCGTTTGATACTATTTTTATCTTAACGTGATTCTTAACCTGCCATTGTGTATCTGTTCCTCTCAAACCCAACCGAAGCAGATGGCCGCTTGTCCTGAGTCTGGTTCTACTAAAGGTTTCATCCTCTTGACGGAGTTTTTCCTTTCCACTTTCGCCTTCATGCTTGCTTAAAATGAGCGTTCTGTGATGGAATCAAAGCAGTCTGCTCCTCAGATAAATAATGTTAAATTATTTTTTAATGTCTGAATGTTTCTGTTCAGTGCCCTGAGATGACTTCTGTTGTGACTTGGCGCTTTATAAATAAACTGAACTGAATTTTAAATATAATCTAAGCTTGAACATGAACTTATTACTTGGTAAGTGTCATGTGAAGTTACGGTGTATCAAAAATAAACAGAGTTTAAAATTAGCAGAGATGAAGAAAACTTCCGGTCAGTTTGTCTAGTCAGAACTTTGTGCTCGCCTGCATTTGAAAGTGGAATTCGGCGTGTGCCAGATGACCGCCAACCTTTTGTGGCATAAACGTCGGCCTGTTTAACGGCGGTTTAGAGGAGACGCTGTTGTTCTAAAAGAGGATCTGGCATAGACAGATTAAGAGCCACAATAGCAGCTCACAGACTCTCCTTTAGAAAATAGCGCAGATAAAATGGATCCTGAACACACAGATAAAGATGAAACAGTTATAATTCTGTTTCACCTAGGATCGTGTCCCAGTGAGTTTTATTTTATTTTTTTTTAGATTTTGCTCCAGACCCGAGCACCAAACGAGCAGTTTTAGTTCGCGTCACACCTCGGTGCCTCTCAAATAGATTTAAGTAGTCCCTTTTCCGTGCAAGGTTGCTCACCAGATTACTCTATATTTAGCCATGGGACATGAAAATTGAATCTTTTAAAGCCACTTGCACACCTATTATATTAAAATGATATAAGGATCGAATTTAGAATTTGTGAAATGCATGTTGTAAAATAAGTAAGGATCTCTAACGTTACCAAAACATGTTGTTTTCTCGATAATGAGCAGCAGCTCTCGCTAACAAGGACCAGGCTTTGTTTTAATTACCCTTTGGAGTGACAGAGCTCGTGCCAATTTATGTGGCTGCCCAATGCAATTATAGTGCATTCTAACCTAAATGGTTTTTTTCTGTCACATTAGGACCAAAGCTGCATTTAGAACAGCCAGCCCTGGCACACATCATCCACTTTTATGTTGCGACCTTTCGGTGCCAACACAACAGACCCAAGTCAAGAAAAGCGTGTCTCTTTTGTCCATATTCTGACATCCGGCTCAGGCTTTATTAGAAGAGGCTGTTTTCTCCTGCGGTGGGCTCCGTGTTTCAGCCTAACCCTTGAGTTTGAGGTGTCAGATGGATTAACACTAACACACACACTTACTGCAAGGACTGAGCTCTACCACCAACACTGCAGCCAGGTGTTTGTCCACGTGACTGCAGATAAACCCGGCAGGCATTAGTGCTAATCCCGCCCTGATCTTTGGAATATGTCCCTATTACCTTCTCCAAGCACTGTCCACCAGGCCTCCTGATGCTCATTTAAGAGGGAAAAGACAAGACAAGGCCTCTGTGGGACTCCATTAGCACGTTGTTTCCTGGGAACAACACAGTAGGTGCCTTTCCCTGTTTGTTACGCTGCTGCTGTCTTTCCACTGCAGGTATTTATGAGGTGCTGAGTGTAGCAAGCGTCACATGGGTGGAGCAGAGCTGCAACACACAGCGTGCGCTAATGTTGTGCAGGTAGACGCCTCTGGTTGTGAAGTGGCGAGCAGACTAAAAGGTCAGGCCCGGGGAGATTTCTTGATATCAGAAGGCAGCAGGATTATGTAAGGTGGATTATCTCGAGTTAGGTGATGGTGATGCAGGAACACGAAAGAGGAGAGGGACTCCAGCCAACACTGGAGGGCTGGAAAGTTTATCTCTGTGCGTCTGACGAGCTGGGAAAAGTGAAACCACGCAATTGCAGCGCGTGTGTGTTTATGGTTTGTGTGAGTCACGGCAGACAGAGCGTGAGACAGAACCGGCTGTAATATATATAGGAACAAATGCTACGGAGTGGGAGGACATGAAAGTTGGTAACTGTGCCCCCCCCCAGCACAAAGAATCTTTTTATTCTTCTTCCTTCTGCTGCAGTCACTTCATTTTGGTTGAGATCCAAGGAAGTGGACAAGAAAGCCCACTCCCATCCGCTGTCTTCATTCAGAAGTGTTAACCACAGACGCCCCTCATGCCCATTTTCTCGATTCTTTAGGTCTTGAGGCTGTGACATTTGGTTGAGCATCTCCCTCTGGCATGGCAGGGAGGGGTTTGTGGGGGACACGGGTGTCATGCTGCTGTAATTACATTATTGCCGGCTTAGCAGCACCCTAGTCACTGACCCAGTTATTCCTCGAAAACATCAGTTTTATTGTGTCGTTTAAGAGAATGCGATCTTTGAGTGGAAACAAGAGCTCGGTTGACGACTGGACTGTGACTGCGACTGTGACTGTGACTGCGACTGCGTGCAACGTGCGCTTGGTGTGTACGCAATGTCTCAGGATGGCTTTGACAGACACCGGCCATCTTTGGCTTAGCAGTTGACTTTCATGTTTCACTTTGAAGATGCAGGCTTTCTGGAAAGGTCTTCTTTATGTCGGTATCTCTCCAGGCAACATATGGCAGACAAACATCAGGTGTTCTGTTTTTCACATTCATCCTGTAATGTTTTTAATCCCACTCTTTGTACAAATAGAAATTCACTCAAGATCTTTCTGCATTCAACCCTTGTGTGTTTGTGAATCGGGGGCTTTCTCCGTTTGTTTTGGGCCTCAAACTGTAAACCGGCCTTCGTCTTTACCTACAGAAGCGTGCAGGGACACATCGCCGCATGGTGCTTTTGTAAGGGCTAGACATGTTGAGGATGTGTGGGAGCCGGGTGAGTTGTCTTCGCGACTCATCTGCACTTTTATGTCTACTTTAGAACGAGTTCTCCTTCTGCTGGACCATCCTCTGGGGTTTCTCTATATCCTCTGTATTACAGCTCGTCTCTGTTTGCTGGAAAACAGCAGCTTTCGTCCTCCTAAGAAAACAGCGGTGCCCCTTCTCCCTATCAGTATCTGTATATTTATGTCCTTAGCAGCAAAGGCCAGAGGTAGATATTGAATGTCTGAACCAATTAATCTTCTGTGACCATTGAACAAGCTGCCGAATGCTCTCTGGCACTTTTATTGCTGCCAATCGACTGCAGATGTGACTAATGTGTTTCAGAGTGGAGCAATTATGACAATCAAAGTGTCTTCAGGCACACAAGATGAGTCTTTGACGACCTGGCTTCGTCCAGTGTCAGCCACCAGCGCGCCTGGGGCCTCATCCCTTCTTGACGAGGTAATTGTTTTATCAAGACGCGTTAACAAGCTGACCCATCTCGGCGGCGTGAAATGGCTAACTCGACGGATGAGTAATTCTCTCAGGCTGACCTGTGAATGGAAGAAAACGGTGATGTCACTCTTGGCTGTGCTTCACAACAAAGCGGCTCTTGTATTATTAAGAATTTATCATGTTTGGAACAGGAGCAGCAGGATTTTTGCCACGAGTGCTCAGTGTTGAACCAAGTTGCCAGATCTGATTAAGTCCCGCGCCGTATTTCAGACTTTTCGACCCATCGCTGTTTGATTTGCGTGTACCGAGCATCAAATGAGGCTGTTAGGTGACATGTTTGACTTTCAAATGAATACTGTTGTGCAGAAACTCGTCACCACGTCGAACCCATCTGAAATTAGGAGTGATGAGTCAGGCTGTAACAGATAGGACTGGTCATACCTGTTTATATGCTGCAGCTCATGCGTGGACTTTGTTTGTCTCAAACACTCACTTTCAGTGGTTACTGTAAATTGCCTACAGTTTCTTTCTCTCTCTTTTTATTTTTAAAACCACTGAAATTCCATGAGAAGGCCTAACTGTTTCCACGTTTCACTGATTTTTTTTTTTTTGTCCACAAACTCTTTTTTTGTTGTTGTTGTTGTAATTTACAAGAGCTACCGTATGTTTTGAAGGATTACAAACCAGACAAAAAGAACGTGACATTCGGTCTCACTGTAAACAGTTTTGGAGGTCTGCACATATACACTGCAATCTGGCAAAACGCTTTATAAATCTGGTCTGGATTTGCTGTTAGCCTTCACCAGTGTTACCATTTCCGGCTCCAGGGAAATGTTTTGCTAACTGGTGACATGATGTGAAAAATACAATGGCTTGAAAAACTTCTGGAATACCAGCGGGGAGAGAAAGCACGAGGCAGGAATCCTCTAAATTAAGTTTTTGTGGCTGCTGTGGCCCACTGAGGGGGCGGAGCCATCTAATATAAAGGGATGTGCACCCAGACATGTTCACTGAGGCCTCATTGTACATTACTTTTCAAATAGGTGTGGTTAGGAAATTCCTGTAGAGGCAAGAATGTTTTCACCCTCTTTAAAAAAAAAAACTTTAAAGAAATATGAATGAAGTTTATATTATCATTCACGTTGTCACGGAGTGAGATGACACAAAACTCACTCGGCTGGTTGAAATCAGAGCTGGAAGTCCTGATTAAAAAAATAGTAATAATCTTTCTTTTTCATCCCGCCTGAAGAGTGCACAACTTTAAACACACACTGCGTTCTCACATGTCAACAAGTGACGTCGGGCTCACAGATCGTGAACCCTCTCAGAGTGAAGGATGAGCTGACAGAAGAGGCACGGAGGAAAGTAAATTGGTGCTAAAGTGAAAGCCCCCCGAGGGGTCAAAGAGGATAGGAGCACAATGAACGATTAATATTCACAACATTGTTCTGTGTGTGCTTTAAAGGGACATGTCAGATCTTTTAAACTGAGTTTGTGAGGAAAGATTATAAACAGTTAATATCTCACTTTGTGTAGATGGTTCTTTGAAACATTTCACTATGTTTTAGTTAGAGGATGCTGTGAGCATGTATGAATTTATCTTTAATCTTAATGTCTTTTAATACATATTGAAATGCAATTATTAATATGCTGTATATTTTGGACAGGCAATATCAATAATGTTGCAATCATTACATAATTTGCCCACCTTTTTGTGGGTTTTAACCATAAAGATACAACAACAGTCCTGTTTTTTTTAATCTGATTTACAAAATGCAATAATACTCCAACATTATTAGAATATAAACATGTTAAGCACCATTTAATCAGTTTTTATTCATTTTATCATAAGTTATTTAAGTATATACTGTATTTGGCTATGCATATACTCTGGTACCACCATGGGGTGCTACAGAACCCTCTGCACCCATATTCCATGTGGCTAAGATTGCTGCTGCCTTAAAACAGCAAAAAATCTGAAACAATTTCATCCAAACACTATTTTATAAACCTTTGCACCACTGTCAGTGTCACATTAAATACTCATTGTTGCAGAAATATGCTGATATCTGTGCAGGAAGTGCCTCAGGCTGAGTGCAAGCTGCTGCTGCTGCTGCTGCTGCTGCTGCTGCTGCTGCTGCTGCTGTACATGCTTAGAAATAATCACAGAACGCTCTGTAAATAATTGCATGAAGTTAAACAGACAGCATTGTAAAACGAAGTGGCAGAGATGTGCAATCCAAGAAACCGCTGGTTAAAATCTTCAAACACTGCTAATGAGGATTTAATGACAGCCTTAAGCAATTTTACATTACATTAATACATTTATCAATAATGTTTTTATGCTTCATAATTATTATCACAAACATATGCTATTAGTAATTATATTTATTTTTCTTGAACTCCCCTAATACAGTGTTTCTTGATTCACATGGGATCTCAACCTAAGCTTTGGAAACCAGAATGGAAGGAAGATCTTTCAATTATCAGGCATCAAAGTTCATGCTCAATCATCCAGGTACCAAATCCAATAATGCTCAGTCGGGTCATCTGGGCAATTTCTTTATTTTGTAGAGACGGCTCACCCTCTATCCAGAGGGCTTCATCAGTCTGAGGAGTCCAAAGTAAACTGTTTCCCTATCTTATCTCTAGCAAACTGGTTGGTCCACTTAAGAAGTGTACTACTTGGTGGGGAAACAGTTTACTTGGGACTCCTCAGACTGATGAAGCCCTCTGGATAGAGGGCAAAAACGTCTTTACAAAAAAAAAAAAAAGAAACTGTACAGATGACCTGACTGAGCATTATTGGTTTCAGTTATCAGGCTCCTCTCTTGTGGAACCAACTTCCAGTTTCTGTCCATAGGGCTGACACATTGTCCAGTTTGAAGACTGGGCTTATGACTTTCCTTTTTCATAAATCCTATAGTTAGGGGTTGGCTTGTTATGCTGCCATAGGCTTAGACTAGAGGACAAATTGACCTCATTTCCTTAAATGAATTGTTAAAATTGAATAGTTTTCATTTGATACTATTTCTATATGTTAACATGTGATTCTTGACCTGCCATTGTGTATCTGTTCCTCTCAAACCCAGCCGGTCGAAGCAGATGACCGCTTGTCCTGAGCCTGGTTCTGCCGGAGGTTTCTTCCTCATGAGGGTTTTTCCTTTCCACTGTCGCCTTCATGCTCAAGATGAGAGTTCTGTGATGAAGTTAAACTCAAAGCAGTCTGCTCCTCAGATAAATAGCGTTAACTTGTTTTTTTATGTACCATTATATGAATGTTTCTGTTCAGTGCCCTGAGATGACTTCTGTTGTGACTTGGCACTATATAAATAAACTGAATTGAATTGAAAACCATTAGTTTATACAGCAGAGTCTGCAAACATGAGAAACGTTTGAGGCTGAGCCCTCAACTCGTCTGAGGCAGCCATGGCCAAAGTGGTTCAAAACATCAAAGTTCATGCTCAATAATCCAGGTAAAAAAATCCAACAAGTTTAAGTCAGGTCCTCTGGCTGTCTCAGACGAGTCGACGGTGGAGAGGGCGGACTCCAGAAACCATTTTGTCACCATCAGACTGGTTGGCCCACTACATATGTGAATGTGCTAGCTATGGGACTGAGTTTGTTGTGGCTCCTCAGACTGATGAAGTCCTTTGGATGAAAGACGAAACGTTTCAACATAAAGAAACCGTTCAGAGGATTTGACTTAACTTTGTTGGATTTTGTACCTGTTGGATAAAATAAATATCCTTTCATTATCTGTTTACTCAAAGAAGCCACAATGAGGACACGAGAAGATTTTAAACCAGTCTTTACTTGCAAGGGTAGACGTCACCAGGAAGCTTTTACAGATCAACAAAAGTTACATGTTTTTAGCCTCCTCAGTGAGAATCTGCCACGGACAGTATAAAGAAGTGGTTTTTATAAAGTTTATCAAACAGACACTGACGACATCCGTCTGCTGGTTTACAGGCTCGGAGCGTCAAGAGTTATCAGGTGCACCTGCAGACTCCTCTCAGAGGAGACAAAACAACTCTCTAACTCACAAACATTAATTTAACATTAGTTAAGCATCAGTGTGTGGAAAGGAGGCTGCACAGCTTCAGAAAGAAAAGCTCTGCAGAGAGTAGGGAAAGCTGCACAGAAGTCTGTTGGAGTCAGTCTTCCCACCATCACAGACATCTACACCTCCAGATGAAGGAAGAGGGCCTCCTGCATCATGAAGGACCCCACTCACCCAGCACACACACTTTTTGCCCCTCTCCCCTCAGGCAGGAGGTTGAGGAGCATTAAGTGTAGAACCATTAGACTGAGGAACAGCTTCTACCCTGAAGCTGTTAGACTTTAGAAGCTGTTCGACTCATAAATCCCTAACCAGTATAATCACTGTAAAATAAAAATCAGTGTAATGCAACTTTGATTGTTGATATGTGCTGCTGATTATCCATGCTGCTGATCTCAAGCTGCTGTACTCATTCATTCGTGCTCACCCACAAAGACTCATGTTTGTGCTGCTGTTAATCGGTGCATTGTTTTACATTATTAGTGTTTAGCGTATATCTTAGATCTTTTAGTGTACCTTTTGGTGTTTGTTTAGCGTAAATCAATGTATATCTTAGTTCCTTATTTACGGTTTCTTTTTACACTTTATATTTTTGCTATTGTTGGATGTAACCGGGACCTTGAGTACACAATTTTGTTCCACCTCATGTACAACATGTGATGCAAAGGACAATTAAGAGCCTTGACCTTGACATCCATAACCTTCACCTAAATTCCCTTGACAGATTTCTGAGCATAAACTTTGGTGTTTGAGGCTGAAGTTGTTTTTTAAATGGCAGCAATTGGCTTCAGAGCCCACTCCGACTAGCCTTTAGCTTGTCAGTTACTAGGTTTAAACTGTAATTTAACCTTTTACACACAAACGCATCACAAAATGAGAATTACTTCATGTGTGAATGAATGTGAATTATAGCTTGAATGTGGCCAGCTGAATGGATGGATTCTGAACAAACACGTCTGACATTTGTGCATTTTTCCTTCCTGTGTCTCCACAGAGTTTCAATGCTCCCCCACGTTCTAAGATGAAGTTATGGAAAGGTGCTACTTTTGCCTTCGTGCTCTGCGCTGCAGCCCTGTCCACCGTCCTCGTTAGAAAAATGGCCACTGTCAGACAGTTTAAACTCAAAGCCAAACATCCCTCATCGAAGTCATCGTTATCTCCAGAATCAACGTCCAGAACGTCTTCAGAGGAACCTGTAGAGCTGTCCCAGATGACGGGAGGTCTTCATCGGAAGACCCGCTCAACGGGCAACAACATGAACTCCCTCTTCTCAGACTGTAAGATAAACTGTTACCTTCTTCCTTCCTTGTCTGTTTGGAGATAAGGTGTCAGGGGAACATTTAGCAGAGTAGACAGAAACACTTGAAACTCGCCTCTGTTGTTTATAGAGCAGGCTTTAATGTCTTACAACAACTTTCAGCCAATTACCACCTCATAGGTCACTGACTCTCCATAGGAGCTTTAATCTCCAGGAGTGGAGGACATGTAGCTTTTTCTTTTCTCATTCCTCAGAGCTCATCAGTTTAATTGGTTATATGGTATTAGAGTGGTTTCTGCCACCATGCCTGCAATAAAAACAATCTGTGGACACCTAGATGTTGAAAATATTACTTTTCTTCACCTGTTTGCTCGTGGTTTCTGAGGTTGTGCCAACCATAAACCAATATCACCCTCAATCTTCTCCTGTTGAATTTTGTTGTGAACGATAACCTTAAATTTACCAAGAAAACCTGATAATCTCCCTCTTTGTCACCTGCCAGTGGAGCCTCTATTGATCTTTTCTGTGTTCTTTCAGTTTCGGCGATGTTCCAGAGCTTCACGGAGGGCGAGCTTCAGCAGCTGCTCGGTACCTTAATCGAAAAGAAAAGAAAGAGGGACCAGACTTTTGGGGAGAACAAGTCCAAAAGGACTAAACGAGCCCACAAATCTAAGCCCTGCTCTTTGAGGAGGCTGGAGCTGACTGTGACTGAGCTGGATCTTGGCCACAAGAGCGACGAGACAATAATCCTGCAGTACTGCAGTGGTAACTGTGACGCACACCGACAAAACTATGACCTTGCCGTGGGCAAGATATTTGGGAAGAACTCTAAGAAAAAAAGTCGCAGGAAGAAAGTCAGCAGCGTGCCGTGCTGCCGACCGACTGCGCTCGAGGGCATTTCGTTCTTTGTAGAACACAACGGCTTTCACACGTTACGTAACATCTCGGCTAAGAGATGTGGGTGTGTATGACCAAATGGGATGGACTTCACACTTCTTCACGCTGCTCCAAGCTTCTGTTGGAAGAGTCGGACATGCACGCTGGTTAAAAGACAAATAATGGATTATAAGGTCCACGAGAGGAGGAAGCAGTTGAGAATTATGTACAACTGACAGACTGACGCTAACGTTTGGGCTCCTGTCACCGCTACTTGGAAGCGAATCACCCAAACAGCTGGTGTTGCGTTTGGATTCCACGTGACATGAACAGAAAATGACTGCTCAAACAGCAGCAACATTTTTATCTGTGTAGTAACACTGTAAAAGATGGTGTAACAACAACTTAGCAACCTAATTTTGTGTCGTTTTGGTAGCTGTATGTAACGATGAGCCAGGGTGGACCAGATCATAGCTGCTACTGCACCTCATCCCTTCGTTTGTCCAAATCCTAGAGTTCACAAAGTCACCGTAAAAAAGGAAATGTCAGTGAAATCTCTTTATAATCACCCATGTACGGTGGCCCTGAGGTGTAAATGAATAACATTTGAAAAAACAGAATTACATTTGAAAAAACAGAATTGCGTTTGAAAAACAGAATCACATTTGAAAAAAACTGAATTTCATTAAAAAAAACAGAATCACATTTGAAAAAACAGAATCACAATTGAAAAAACAGAATTTCATTTAAAAAAAACGGAATCACATTTGAAAAAACAGAATTACATATGAAAAACAGAATTGCATTTGAAAAAACAGAATTACGTTTGAAAAACAGAATCACATTTGGAAAAAAAACAAAAAAACAGAATTTCATTTCTCTTTGGCCACTTCCACTTTGGCCAGTTCCGTTTCGGCCAGTTCTGCTTTGGCTTAATGTAATTCCGTTTTTTTTTTTCCAAATGTGATTCCATCCACTTCCTCTTTGGCCACTTCTGCTTTGGCCGCTTCCACTTTGACCACTTCTGCTTTGGCTTAATGTAATTCTGTTTTTTTCCCAAATGTATTTCTGTTTATTTATTTTTTTTCATATGTGAGTCCGACCATTCCGCTTTGGCTGCTTCCGCTTCAGCCACTTCCATTTGGCTTAATTTACTTTATTTTTTTCCAAACGTGATTCCATTTTTTTTCAAATGTGATTCCGGCCACTTCCGCTTCGGCCACTTCCGCTTTGACAACTTCTGCTTTGGCTTAATGTAATTGGTTCTTTTTTTTTTTCTTCAAATGTATTTCAGTTTTTTGTTTTTTTCAAAATATGATTCTGGCCACTTCCGCATTGGCCACTTCCGCTTTGGCTTAATGTAATTCGTTTTTTTTTTTTTATTCCATATTTTCAAATTTGATTCCGGCCACTTCCGCTTTGGCCACTTCCGCTTCGACTTAATGCAATTCCGTTTTTTCAAATGTTGTTGTATTTTTGTTGTGTGTTTTTTTTTTTTCAAATGTAATTCTGTTTTTTTTTTTTTTTTTTTTTTCAAATGTTGTTCATTTACACCTTAGGGACACGTACCCGTGTCAGCTTTGAGACAATCGACCCAAATTAACATGAAAATGTGAGATGTGTTCAGGAAGCATGTTGAGTTTAAAATGTGTTACATTGTTGATACTTCAGAATGTTTTTATGTCATGTTTACCTGCTTTTATGCATTGATATTATTGCGTCTGGACTCCAACATTACTAAAAAGTGTTATAGATAAGAATTTGTCAATGAAAGAAAGAATTTTCAGGTAAAGCACTTGTCATAAATCAGTGCATTGCATTAATAATGGGTGTCTGGGGTCTTTTAAAAGACACAGTGAAAACATCCCCATCTATTTTCAACATAACGCTTTTTCTTACCTTCCTTAAAAAGTACTCCAGAGCTTAATTACCCCCAATCATCTGGAGTTATTTCTCCTGGAGGAATTTCCAAAGCGCACCAGATCAAATCAACACGTGACGACGTTACAAACCATACCCGTCGTAAACATCCCTCAGCTCACGTTTCAGGTGTAAATGTGCTTCGAGTGTAATTTGTGAAAGTTTATCCTCACGTCGGCTTCAGCTGATTGCAAAACGGAGTAGAAAAGAGAGGAATGGGTATGATGAAAAGTACTGGCATGTTTTCTTTTCCTCTGAAATAGACGTTTGGATCCGAGGTTGTGTTTGAGCCCATCTGTAAAAGGTTTTCTTACCCATAACCCCACAGTGCAGCCTTCGACTGGCCCCGAACATGCCTCTGTGTTGTGCTGCCTGGTAGACTTCTAGGAGACATGAATCATGAAGCGACTTTTTCAACCTCAGTTATCTTATATTGGTTTGAACGAACTGTAATTGCCTGACATACAGCTAAATATATATATATATTTATATGTATATATGTATGTATGTATGTATGTGCGTGTTTTTTTCTTAAGAAGGAAAAGGGGTGCAGATGCAGTGCATCTTTGTTGTAGTTTATATTGTATTTATTTGGGAAATAAATTATAAATTTTCATATTTATTTAGATTACTACACATAAACGGGACAGCTTTTTATCATCAAGCAACTGTGCCAAAAATGTTTTATCTAACATTATATTGACTGCTGAATAAATATAATTCCAGATGTGTGGAGCTTCATCATTGTCATTTGTGGGTTTCAGTTTTAGGCTTTTCAAAACAAACAAGTTTTAATTGAGCCGAATGCAGTTTGGGATGATAAAATGTGACATAAGAAGCCACATGTCTGTGGTGAGAGTCGAGCTTGAATGAATGCTCAAGTTCAGATTTCGATGAATAAATCATGAAGAAGGTTAAAAGCAGAGGAACGCCACTGAATCATTTTGTAAGATCTGCTTTTATGAATCATTTGTTTTCTGCAGCCGTTCAGCAGACAACGCTGTGAACATCAGTGACAACAGCCTAAACCACAAGGGGCCAGACGGGTTGCGTAATAATCAGCTCACTCTGGGAAGTGGACTTTAAATCAAAGACTTTATCTCATTTCTCAAATGGGATTGTACTTTTATCAACACATCTCATTAAAAAACATCCAAACAAAGTATAAAAATGTTAAACTGTTGAAGTTAAAGAAGCCCAAACCTATATTCCTGCTCCAAATGCTCCGATTTTATTTTAAAACTCACAATCCCGTACGGATAAAAATAATTCATTGATGTGTATTTTGCTTACTCCGACAAACCTAAACTCCTGCAGCCAAAAATAGTCCAAAACACTCTCTCACAGATTGAATTCTTGCTAGACCTTCAAATAATTTAGCGAGGCGTTTTGTAGAAATTCAACATGGAGGAATATGAATTAGGTTGGTGACATATTTTAACTTCTTTAACTGAAGTAAAGGTGAGTGGCACAGAAACAGGAATTGGTGAACTCACACTCAGGTGGCCTTTTTTTTGTGTGAAATTGAACTTTGAGAAAAACACCAACATGAAAAGCCCAGCTGTCCATAAAGGAACATTGTTGTAGCTGATTTTAAGCCCTGAAAATATCGTTAAGTTCAATTTCATACAATTCATAAAACGTCTCCATCAGAGGGTGTGATGTGAATAACTCTCAGCTTCTACCGTGTAAATTTGAACTCAAAATTTGTAAAATAGTCTTATTTGTGTTGACTAGGTGACACGGTGGCTCGGTTATTAGAGATGTTGCCTCTCAGTGAGAAGGTCGACAGTTCAAATCCTGGCCCGGGACCTTTCTGGGCGGAGTTTGCACGTTCGTTCCGTGCATTCTCCAGGTACTCCAGTTTCCTCCCACAGACCAAAAACATGCATGTTAGGCTGACTGGTAACTCTAAACTGTCCCTAGGTGTGAGTGAGAGAGGGAATGGTCGTTTGTCTCTGTCTCTGTGATGGACTTGCTATAAGGACTGAGGAGTGACCAAACTTCAAGACGGAGAATACATTTAAAGTGATTTTATTTACATTGGGTAATAAAGCACAACAGGAACACTGAGGGACAAGGACATGAGTTAGATGATGTTTTCCAAGAGGAGGATGATATTGTTGGTAGATTTCAGATCTTGCTGTAGGTTGGGTAGTAGGCCGTGTGGTTGGAAGGCGAGGAAGGCAGCTGAGGAGACTAGATTTCCAGGGGTTCTTCAAAGAAGTCCAGGCACAAATAGTTCACAAGGAGAGATGCTGCAACAAAAGGAACACAGTTAGGTCTTTCTCAAGGATCATAGAATACAAAAAGGGCTGGACGCACGACTATCAGAGGCAGGTACTGCTCCAGCGATGAGGAGAAGTCATCATCTCATTTAGGAGTTTATCTTCAGGTGTGGAAATTTTGGCCCCATCTAATGTCTTCAGAGCAACTGGATAAATAGGAACTCTCACACTTGCGACCTGTCCAGGGTGTACCCCGACTCATGCACAGTGACTGCTGGATATGGGCACCAGTGACCCCCGTGACCTGAAAAAGGAAGAAGCGGGTGAAGATGGATGGATGGATGGATGGTGCCACGCTGCCCAGGTGAAATAAAGCTGTTTCATCCATTAAATAAATGCATAATAACCGCAACAGATCAGTTGTGACACATAATAAATGCGACTTGTGTTTTTTCCTCTTCAGGATGCTTTTTTTTTTTGACTGATGCGACTTATACTCCAGAAAATACGGTATTGTAACTGTAGCCACATTCTTAACATGAGACAGATAAAACATATTTTTAATTTCCCTCTTAGGAAATGTTAAAAATGTTGAGTGAAAAAAGTGTCTGGGAGAGCCGGAGAGGCACATGTGTGGAGCGTGGTTTGATCTGACAACAGTTCGTGACAACGCCACTCAGCAGTGGGAAATGATGTGAGCAGGAATTCAGCTTTCAATGAAAGTCAGGTGTGTTTTTCATGTGGAGGTCACAGTACAGTACATACAGGGTGTTTTTCTTTTTTATGTGGAGGAAATCCGAGAGCAAAACGAATCCCCAGCAAAAATCAGCACAGACTTCATGGAACACTCCACAACAAATATGAAAGCTAAAACCAGAGAGCTCCATGAATCAAGCAGGCTTTGTTAGCTTTTACTAATAATCTGGACTATAATCTGCCTGTAAATCATCTCAAACTTAATATGCTGACATCATATTTCTTCCTGTGAGTGCAAGTTTAATTACACATCAAAAGCCACCCCTGAGTTGTACATGCGGGAACTTAAAGC